AGAGCGACTTAGATCCAGACCACCAAAATAAGTTTTTTTTCGACTTTCGCCCGAAGACACACCAAAAAACCAATTTCTTAAAGAGCAAACAACATGAAGCGTTAAAACTCGCCTAAAGGAAAACAACGTGTCACAATCCATAGAACGGATCGGGAAATAGACGCAGTCCTATGTATCCAACAACTAGACATAAAGTTTGTTATCCTTTTTTTTGATACCTTGAATTTTTGAGTTATCATTTTATTTTATTTTATGCATATTTGTGTGGTGTCACCCCCGTTAAACCCGATTTGCATTATGGCTCCAACTACTGATTGATCTCGTCTGCCTAAGATCAATTCACAACGTTGGTAGGCAGACTAGAGATCAATGCAGTTACTTTGGTAATCAGGCGTTAGAAGCTAGTTGGGAACGACGAAGCTGATATCGAATCTAACCAGATTCCCATCCGAATCACCAAAAGGTTAGAACGTCACATTTGGGTGCCGCGACCGATACCAAGCTAGTTGATCGTCACAGGACGAGACAACACGACTGACGCGACAGGCGGACGTCACGTTTGGAGCGGCGACACCCGAATGGAGCAGCGAGGAGCGAGCGAAGGCTGTGTTTGGGGACGTCGCAGCTGACGCCGCGACCAAGGACGTCACAGCTGGCGCTGCGACAAGGACGTCACATTATTGAATACAGTAAAAAAATTAGACACCATGTGTATTTAAAGTAGTTTCCCGTTCCGGTTATTATTTTTAGTTAGGACTTGTGTATATTTAGATTTCATTATCTTTCCCTAAAGATAAAGAATTTATTCCGATGTTTGTATTCGTACAATCAGTAGAGATGGTTAGATTATTGTTTAAGGTTGACGGACACGCATGTCTTAATTAGTTTTTATTTTTAACGAATTGGTCAAACCCAAACTCAAACAAAAACATTGTTTTCAATCGTTATGAGTCTCCTGATTGAATAGAATTTTATTATAAATAATTGTCTTGTAAATGGAATTTTAAAGCATTCTGAATGTTAAAATAAAGAAAAAAAGTGTGCAAGAGAATAAGAAACACTACCTGCCCCCCCAAGGTGAAGTTTTGTTTTATCGACTGAACAATATAGGAAATCGGATGTGAGTTGTCCCCTTCTATTTTCACGATGTCTCTTAATCGTGTTTTCAAATTGATTTTGTGCAAAAACAATTATATTTTTTTCCCATTTTTGGCGCTGTTAGAAACACCACAAGGTAATATTATGTCGTCCTGAAGTTTTGTCGAAATCGGTTGAAAAATGTAGGAAATCCGATCCAATATATAAACGTTACAGACACACACACACAAACACAATCTGCGTTTTATAATAAGTAAGATTTATGCTATAATTTTTGAGTAAATTATATTTGCTCTACTCAGTATTGAGCACTCTTTTAAGAATAGTATTTTTGGTTATTGGAATATATTCCGTATATACCAAACCTATACCTCTATATAACATATATATCTATATATATATATATATATATATATATATATATATATATATATATATATATAGAGAGAGAGAGAGAGAAGAAACTGAAATTTGCTTTCGTGTGTTGCTTATATAACTTTCAGACATATTTACTTCTATGTCTTCTACAAGTGGCCTGACATAGAAAAAAAACATATGACTATTTACTTTACATTAATGACATTGGGAAATATGCAAGTACATCTGCTCTTGTCCCCCAGCTATGGGTGAAATAATAGGGCAAAATGGACCATTTAGCCTTTGTGGGAAAAACTTCCTTCAAATCTTATTTGATAAATAGTATAAAGCACTTTGTCGGATTAGATATCACGCCTAGTTTTTAAACCTACACTTTAGATTGGATCTGCGAACTTGTCATGGAATCGATAGGATCCAAGATTCAGGGTAAATTTAATCTAAACTGTTGAGAGTCTGCAAATTTTGACAATAACGTAGTGAGAAACATTAGAGGATGGAAGCACCGATTTACTAATATATTTGATCGAATCACGTGGTGACTGATTTAATTTTGCAATTAGTGATCTATATTTAATTCCAGATTGAATTATCTTTAAAATAGTTTCAGTTCACTGGCAAAAAAGAATTTACTTACGATGTCTTTCTCCCTAAATAGTTAATTTACTTAGCAGGAAAAAGGAATTACTTTTTAAATCTTCATTTATTATATATATTATATTTAAATCTTATATATATATATATATATATATATATATATATATATATATATATATATATATATATAGTGAGATAAAGAAAGATAGGAAACGTTTATCAATATAACATGTTTTACCTGTTTATGTTGTAGAGATATGTTGTAGAGATAGAGAGGAAAACAGACAAAAAGGAAAACCTTACTATTTCCATTTTGTTTGGGTCAATTCTCATTAGTCAGTCATCTATTACGTGCATTAATGCGTATTCGTAATTGTTTATGTGTGTCTGTCTAGTAGGATGAGTTCTAATGTTTTCACATTTTTTGTGAATATATATATATATATATATATATATATATATATATATATATATAAAGTAGACAGTCTGTTTCATGCTTATACACAGTCTTATAAAGCCTAACGATTGCGTATACAGACAGTCTCTGTCAGTCTTTGACTTTTATATTAACATAAGTTCTATCACTGATATTTAGTACTTTAACCCATAAACTATATTTTTTATCATATATATATATATATATATATATATATATATATATATATATATATATATGGGTGAGTGTATCTGTGTTCATTTGCTTCGGATTGTATTTTATGAACCACTGATGCACGACAATTCGTATTACAACGTACACCGGGAAAAAAATAATCGATAGTGTTGAGGCCGTTTTAATATTTCAGTCAAGGAAACTCTGTCCGTCATACTGTCTATGTAAATCAGTGAATATTTATTAAATCCCTGACCTTTTTATAATTCATTAATCACCAAGTAAGGCAATAAAAGCTAGGTGTTACATTTTTGAAGATCCTACTTCGCAAGAAAGCTGGAATCTGGAAGAGATTTCCAAAGGCGAGTATCGTGTTAGAAGAAACTAGCAGCATAAAACTTATGGTTATAACGGGCAATTTCAACAGTGCAATTATGAGACCTATCTGCCAATCGAGTAATGCGTTGAAATTCATGAAGCGGAGGTACCAGCGAGGTACTTTCATCAGAACAAGAAACCATAAAAATGTTTATAGATGAGGCAAAAGTAAACTGCTTTAGGGCAGTTGGAAAGTCACTGAAACCTAGATGCCAGTCTAGAATCAATAATGTTTCCTATTCTTCTTTTTGTCAAGAATCTATGGATAAAAATCAAATGCACCAGAACAGATTTGGCAGTAACATTCGATGTAAACTTATGAACGCACCAAAATAATTTATGGCGAAAAAAGATTATCGAAAACAAGACCATAAACGGACTTTCCTAGCAAAAGTTTTAGCAGTTGATTCAATATAATGATTTCAATTCATGTCAGTGGAAATCTCTGAAGCAAGAAGGCGCAGCGAGTTGCTTCGCTAGAGGTTAGCATTAGCCATACTCTTGGAAGTCAATAAAGGTTCTTGATGATTGATAGAGAGCAGATTCGTTTTAGACATGTTGAAATTAAGCAGTAAATTCTTGCCGTCGTTCACACCAGATTGTAGGTCATTTTCTAGAACAATTGTCAATTTGATTTTATCGAACCTGTGAGACTTAAAATTAGGAAAGGTGTAAATAGTTGTGACGTCTGCATAGATCTCGCCTGGAAGGAAGATCGTTGATGAATAAAAGAAACAAATTGAGGTCCAGGATACCTGGAGGGAACCCGCATTAATGCAAAAACGACCAGGAAGATTGGACTTTCAAGACAACTTTCATTACGCGATTTGAGAAGTATTAGTAAAGAGAAATTACTGTAAAGATAGAGCTTTTTAATCTCAGAATTCGTGGGAGAATTGAGCTTTCATTTCGCAATTATTCATATAGATTCCATAATATAACTTTTACTTAATTGGCTATTATGTTTCTCTAAGTATAACTAATTCTAATTTCTATTTTCCTATCTTTATACTATATTAATTTTACCTGATAAATTGTCGCCTCTTCTGTCACCCATGAAATAAAAATAATTGTTTGTACAGAAAATAAGGATCTATGTATAAGTAGATGGCACCTTCATACTCTTACCACACCAGGAAGAGGTCCAGCTATTACTTGACTAAGTAAAGTCAATAAGACCATCAATACAGTTCACAATGGAGGGAGAAAACAAAAACAAATAAGCATTCCTGGATATATATATATATATATATATATATATATATATATATATATATATATATATATATATATATATATTCCTTTTTGACATTACGTTCGTCAAAGTTCAATTTCAGCGTCACTAGTCGTGTGTGGTCTTTCTGTTTAGTCTCAGAAAAGAAAATCAACTTATATTTCATTTGGCCCTTCTGAATTACCTTTAAAAATACTATGAAATTGGATGAAACATTTCACTGTCAAATATATTTCTAATAGTTCCTTGTCCTTACATTAATTAAAAAAGAAAAAACCTTATAATGAGCGGATAGAAACGCTAATTTCTAGTATGAAAGCTAATTCTGAATAAAAGAAAGTAGGACCTGATCTTTCCCGATATTAGTTCTGATAAATATTCGTACCAAGTTCTACATGAAATACTTTCAAGTGTGAAACAAATAAATAAAAACTTCCATATTATATATAAATGACTTCATCTTAAAAATAGTGGGAGGATGCTGATATCGTTGAAAATCTCGGCTTCAACGATTTCTTTTGTTTAATTCTTCATCAATTTTGCTACATCCAACCTCCCATAAGTATTCCTTGGGGTCAAGAGAGTTCAGAATGTTGGTTGTTTGACAACATGGGAAATGTGATTGAAGACACTTTAGTGGAAATGTATGTCTTAAACACGATGCGACTATGATTGACGAATCACTCGATCAGAAAACAACATAGTTTTATGCCTACAAATATTTCTCGATTATATTTACTTGTACGCACGTAAATATACACATCTTTTTACAGACAAAAGTGTATATATATATAAATATATTTGTAAATGTATATCTGTCAGTTTATTTCATTTGTTAATATGTATATATATATATATATATATATATATATATATATATATATATATATATATATATATATATATATATATATATATATATATATATGCTTGTATCTATCATACCTTCGTCTGTTCTTATATATCTATCACAGTATGTTCGTATCTATCTAATTCTATTAATATCTATCTATCATTCTATCCATCTAATATATGTATATATATTTGTAAATGTTCATTTATCTAACTATCTTAGTTTGTTCATATCTATCGATCTATCTATTTTAGTCTGTATCTATCTATCTATCTCGGTATGTTCGTATTTATCTATCTCTGTCTGTGCCTATCTATCTATCTATCTATCTATGTCTGTTATATCTATCTATCTATCTATCTATCTATCTATGCCTGTTATATCTATCTATCTATCTATCTATCTATCTATGCCTGTTATATCTATCTATCTATCTATCTATCTATCTATCTATCTATGTCTGTTATATCTATCTATCTATCTATCTATCTATCTATCTATCTATGTCTGTTATATCTATCTATCTATCTATCTATCTATCTATGCCTGTTATATCTATCTATCTATATCTATCTATCTCAGTCTGTGGGTTTCTATCTATCTATCTATCTATCTATCTATCTATCTATCTATGTATGTATGTCTGTTATATCCATCTATCTATTTCTATCTATCTCAGTCTGTGTTTCTATCTATCTATCTATCTATCTATCTATCTATCTATCTATGTCTGTTATATCTATCTATCTATATCTATCTATCTCAGTCTGTGTGTTTCTATCTATCTATCTATCTATCTATCTATCTATCTATCTATCTATGCCTGTTATATCTATCTATCTATATCTATCTATCTCAGTCTGTGTGTTTCTATCTATCTATCTATCTATGTCTGTTATATGTATCTATCTATCTATCTATCTATCTATCTCAGTCTGTGCGTATCTATCTATCTATCTATCAATCTATCTAAGTGTATTAATATCTATCATTCTATCTATTTATCTATCATGAATGCACCGTATATCGTTGTGCGAAATGCAACTTGAGTATAATTCTAGTCTGTGTTTCTGAAGCTAAAAACAAAGCGTGAATGAAATCCTTGATTATAATATGAACCCCAGTACAGCCATCACTACGTAATTTCTTTTTTAAAAGTTATACCTTGTTATCCATTAAAATCCCAATGTTGTACTCATATTTCACCACAATATTTAATTTGTCATGATATTAAACATTAGAAATGCACCGACTGTTTAGCAATTGATATTTTCTTCGAAAATTCTCCGTTTCGAAACTTATTTTCTACTTTTTTAGGCTGAGTGCATTTGCCATCCTTTGGTAAGATTTTTTTTTCAGCTGAGTAAAAATTTCAGAAAAAGTGTAATTCTGTATAATACGCACGCGCTTTTTGCCTTTAATTTTTGCTCCAAATTTCTCGTTTGTATATGTAGTTAAGGAGATAAAAACCTATGTAAAGATGAAAAAAGAATATATAACAATTAATCCTTTTGCTAGAACTGAAAAACATTATCATCTTGCCTAATTGTTAGTATTCACCACAAACAGATATTAAAGCCACTGAGACACATGGGATTCCTGGATGTGGAAGAATTAGAAAACAGAAACATCAATAAGGAGAAAATACAGAAACAGAGGGACCCGGAAAACTTTAGATAGCGATTGATATTGCATTTAAAATTCTGAAGCGAGGAGTGCGTGAAAAGGAACTGTTAACATAGAACGTACGACTGCATCTAGCCAAGATAAATGTAAATTGATGTGATCTCGACCCCCAGTCTAGTACTGCGCTTATATTCGTAAAATCAAGGTATCATAGCGAAAAGGTCTTCCGAACAGTTATATATGAAATATATATATATATATATATATATATATATATATATAGATAACTAGACTCGTTTTCGAAAAACCCTCGAATTTTTGATTTGCCAATAATCAAATCAATCTCGATGGAGAAAAGGTTTTAAAAAGAAAAGATCTACACATGAACTTCTGCCGACAAAAAATCGCACAGATGCAGGTCTGAAGCCCAAAGAAAAAAACCCGATACGAGTAAACAACCAACTAACAAAAAAGCGCTCAATACAACCGTAGAGCAGACCTTTATCCTTTATCTATATATATATATATATATATATATATATATATATATATATATATATATATATATATATATCTGGTGTGTATATATATATATATATATTTATATATATATATATATATATATGGCGTGATTGAAAAACTAACTCGCTATTTTATGTATGTTGAACTCTCCCATCATGCATAAAATCGTGAGTTACTTTTAATCATCTGATATATATATATATATATATATATATATATATATATATATATATATATCGTAATGAACAAAAACTAAAAAAATTTGAAGCTATATACATAAAACTGTTGAAACCTAACCTGAACAAAATAAACTACGAAATCTCCACAAATATTCTTAAATGCCTATAATTGGTAACAGAAGCCATTGATTTATACCAACGGCTTAATACTTAATACTTCTCGAATTCAATCTCGCGTGGTCAGGTGTGGCGTCATGAGCTGCGGTGCGATTTTCGCTTCCAGCGTCTTATATGCGTTTGTCGTTGATTGAAAATCTTCCATGTAAACTGTTATGGGACCTTACCCATAATAACATAATGGACTATTCCATGCGTAATAAATACTGCGCCTCAAGAGGAAGCAGTGAGTTCAGCCTGAAGTCGGGCGACCGGCTGAGCAGCTGATTGATTGAACTCTCTGCCTTCGGGCGGGGAGGAACCCGAACGAGGCTACGCCGAAGGGCGGAGTCTATTTCGGGGAGGTAAACCGTTTATATGGGTTCAAAGGGCATATTTTTTGCCGAGCTCACGGGCTCGGAGATCACATTTTAAACCGGCCTTATGCCATATGATGCCTTCGTGGGTGGGGTGACTAAATACTGTTCAGTCTGAAGTCTGGACTGGGGTCCGTCAGGAGTCTGTCAGTCAGTCAGAGAGAGAGCGAGTCAGTCAGTCGAGTCAGAGGCAGTCCGAAACAGTGTCGCGTTCAGACAATTACTACTAAACCTGATTGTTCGTACTAACACTTTCCACTTCTCTGTATATATTCCTGTTTGTAATATATCTGTGTTATTCCATATCCGTATTCGAGTTCTTCTTTATTGGTTCTACCTTTGACTATCACCGTAGTACAAGGAACTGGACCACATCATACACAGAAACAGACTATCATCACGTTCTTGTCCGTGTAATTGTCATCTTTGATAACGGCTTATGTAAGCCGAAAGCTTAGATAGGATAAAAAAATATGTACCAATATTGTGATTTAATGATAATGTTATTAAGCTTATCAGACGATATGAAAAGAATTTACATAAAATAAATAGACAACACTTGTCTATATTATTTAATGAAACATGTAACAATATATATATAATCAACCACTCCATAAAAAACACCCTTGGACTGCTACAGTGGATTAACACAAATGATGTCATCAACTGGTTTAACAACATACGATATAAGGGAAAATGTTCATTCATACAGTTCGATATTATCGACTATTATCCCTCTATATCGAAGGATCTTTTCACCTTGGCATTGGACTTCGCCCGGGAATATTCTACTATTTCTGAGTGTGAAATTGACATCATTATGAAGTGTTGAAATTCTGTTCTAATTTACAAGGATGAACAGTGGACCAAAAAGTCTTGCAACAACAATTTTGACATTTCCATGGGTTCTTTGGATTCTGCTGAAGCTTCGGACTTGGTTGGATTATTTCTTTTTTATAATTTAAGTGCCTTTGATTGTCTAGATTCAGATAGTGTAGGATTATAGAGATGATGGATTATTAGTTGTTAAAACTCAACTAAAATTAAGGTAGACCGTATTAGGAAAATGATCTATAAAGTATTTAAGGATTTAGGTCTTAGGACTATAGTTACTACTAATGTTAGACAAGTGGATTTTCTAGATGTCACCTTAGATCTTGCTAACAATATTTTCCAACCATATATGAAGGTTAATTCCAACCCATTATACGTGCATCCTAATTCCAACCATCCCCTTCGGTTATCAAACATATACCCTCTTCCATTGAATTTAGAATTAGCGCTAACTCTTATAATAAGGAGGTTTTCAATAAACATAGTGATTTTTATAATTCTGCACTAAAAAATAGTGGATACAAAAATACCACTATTCAATATAAAAACCCTGTTAATTGCAAACCATAATAAGAAAAGAAGATCTAGAAAGATTATTTGGTTTTACTCCCCCTTTCAATGTTATGGTCAAAACTAAATTAGGGCGTATATTTCTAAATCTAATCAAAAACATTTCCCCAACCCTGAAACTAACCCACTTAGTAAAATATTTAATCCTAATACCCTTAAATTAAGCTATAGTTGTGCTGATAACCTGGAGCAGATAATTAAAAAACATAACAACATAGTCTTTAACAAGTATAGGAATTCAAAAGGCTTGACTAATCAACAGGTTACTAACTGCAATACTAATTATAAGAATACTAATAACAACTTATGTAATTGTAGGAATCCGAATAATTGTCCACTACAAACTAACTGTGGAATTACTTCTGTAGTCTATCTTGGTACTATTTCAACAATTGAAAATCCAAATATAAAGAAGTTTTTACATTGGTTCTACCATGAAAACATTCAAGGAACGCTGGCGGGGGCATATGCAATCCTTTAATCACAGTGAATATAGGTACATGACTTCATTATCCAAGTATTTTGGAATCTAAAAGATAAGAACAAAACACCTACGGTTAAATGGAGTTTGGTTAAGAAAGCTCGTACATGTAACTCCCTATATACCCCATGTTACCTATGCCTTAATGAAAATTTGAAATTATTAGATTTAAAAACAAGGCTGATCTCTTAAATCAAAGATATGAACTTACAGTAAATTGTAAACACCGTTATAAATTTAACTTAGTGTAGGGGTCGTATACTTTAAATGATAATGATATGTCGCTGTATTTTAATAGATTAGTGTTTTTTTATTGCATGATGGTCATACTTACGATATAAGTGTGTATTGTATACTTGCATAGTGTTATTAGTGTTGGTGCAAATGTGTATATATTTATTTATGTGTTGGTTAGAGTATTGGCACTGAGGAATGTGTAGGTTGGTGTATGTGTATTTATTGTTTTTTTTTGTTTTTTTTTTTATAAATATATATATGTGTGTGGGTGTGTGTGTGTATGTGTATATATATATGAGTGTGTGTGTATATATGTATATATATTAGGTGGGAAGGTATAGTAGATGATAAGAGAAGAGGTTAATTATTGTTACGCTATATATGTACGTGTGTGTCTATATATGTACGTGTGTATGGGTGTGTGTATATGTATATATGTATATATGTAAATATATATATATATATGTATGTGTATGTATATATATATATATATAAGTATGTGTGTGTGTGGTTGTATATATGTATATATATGCATATATATATATATGTATGTATGTATATGTATGTATGTGTGTGTATGTATATGTATAAATATATATATGTATATGTATGATAAAATCACGGCAGTATAATGGTTGGCCAGCATGGTTCGCGGGATTGGGTGCGACTGAGTAATGAATTAGTTCCTCACTGAGTGCCTCCCTAATTTCGGCTTTACGCCACTATATATTTGTATATATATATGTCTGTGTGTGTGTATGTGTGTATGTATATGTATATATATATATATATAGTGTGCATATATATATATCTGTATGTCCTATTTTATTGTGTATGTATATCTATATTTAAGTATATTTCTGTTTGTGTGATTGTGTTTATATATTTGTATGTTAGACTATATGTATATTGGTGTGTGTTGGTTTTTGAAGGTATATTTATGTATCTATATGTTAGTACGTTTATGTATGTATTTGGTTGAGTGTTGTTGTATTTTTATGTATGCATGTGTATATGGTTAGTTGTTATTGT